CCAAAATCACGGATGATGGTAGGGTGTTTTCCTGCCACGTGATGTACCATCCGGAGAGAGTCCAGAAGAGCAGCACCACCGTGAGAGTATTCGGTAAGGGGCTTATGCCAACTGCCCACTTAGTTGCAATTGGAAAGGTAACATTCCTGTCTGGTTCTGAAGGCAATAGCTTTTGAAATATACTGGGGTTTTTATATACACATACTTACCTTTCCTTTTCAGCTGCAACATGTTAAAATGTTAGTTAATAACCTCATAGTTCTTAGGAAGAATTTGAGGCTATTCCTTCAATTTCTGGCATCAAAAATAATAGATTCATTGCACATATATTGACACCTCAGGCATGCATATTGCCATTATCTCACCCTGATGTGCAAACTCAAGTTGGCGCTTTGCATGTTACAGGTGAGCATTTTGCTCATCAAGTTCTCCGTGGCCCACTTACAAAATGACCATTCTGCCTGTGGTTAGGAAACCATGGCCAAAATTTAGTAAGCAGCTGAAGCGGTTTGGAACTACCATTGTTGCAAAGTTGCATCCTCAAAGGCATGTGATGCTCAACTGCTGCCAAAGGCTCTGGTTCTGAAAATGAGGGGTCTCAAACAGATCAGGAGTGGGAAGGCCCATGTACTGCAAACGTGTGGGCTGGCATTTCATGCTGGAAGCCGTCCCCATCTTTAGTCACTTGCTCTGTTCTCTGTCTAGTGGTTCAGGAACTACTCTACAATCGCTGAGGAACAACCAAATCAGAGCAATACTGCCCACTGAAAACCAGGCTGCATTTTCTCCTTATAGAGCAGTGAGTCTGGAAAGCATATTTCCAGTGCTCCTACAATGAATGGGTGTTAAACAGCAGGTCTGGCAACAGCCCCTTGAGTGTAGCTGCCTGCCCAAGGAAGCCTGTGGCTCGGCACTGGCATGGCCATGCGAAGCTGATGCTCTGAATGCAAAGAAAGATTCATCAGGGAGCAGCAAAATAAAGAAGGAGGGGGAAAAAAAAAAGGCAAAAACTGTGCCTAGGGGCTGTTGGTCACTGACGCAAGAGAAATAAAAATAGGCGTTAATGATCTGAAATTTCCTCTTGCGTTTGCATGATTCAGACATGGGTCTTACTTTTAAAAATCAACATTTATCAAATAGCTACAGTGTTACCTGGGTAATTGTTCAAGTATACTGACATACTTGAACTCTGCGTGCCCTCCATCCCTGCTGATGCTCTCGCCTTGGTTTGTGTATCTGTTAGCCTAAGAGGTTGCTTTATTTGGCTTATTCTCTGAATTACTGTTATATGTGGTTGCCTGTGCGTGCACCCACATCAGCATATTCGTATAACAGGGGAGAGAGGCAAACAAGAGAAAGCAACCATGGCCCTTGGTGTTGAGCAGCCTGTGGTGCTCCCAGTAAGTGTCAGCTGGCTTTGGACCTGGGTGATGTGCCGTCAGCCTCTCACAGGTGTCCTGAGGGCAGGGTTAAGTGGAGGGGTTCCCCGGGAGATGTTTTGTGGTGGGTACTGAGGAAGGTCTCTCAGACTTCAGGGCAATAGAGTCTAGATGTTGGAGGAAGTGCATTTTTTTTGCTCTTAGCCTTTTTATGTCTGATATTTTGCAGGTAAAATAATTGTTTGGCATGCTGTCTCACTCTTTGCTACTACCATTCGCTGAAGTCACGCTGCTTATGATTGCATTGTACCTCTCGTGCTGCAACACGAGGGGAGACCAAGAGCAGGTGGTCCAGAGCCACCCCTGCGTTAGCCTGCACCTCCATGCACTGGCAGGGCAGGAGCTGGCCAGGAACAGGCAGAGACAGTGGCCAGAATAATCCAGCAACCTCCAGTTGACATCTGGGGACAGACAAACAGCCTTGTGTCGAAGCTGATCAGGGAATGAAGAAATGAACACTTATGTCCTAGCAGGTAGACCCAGCCTCAAATGGCCAGGGCAGGATCTAAAGCATGATAGTAAGCGTATACAATGTCAACAGCACATTATATTGGTTCCATCAGTCATCCTGGTCATTAGAAAGGATGTAGGTAGGGAATAAAGGCCAACTGAAACCTGGGGAGATTTTCCCACCTCAGCAAGCCAGCATCCCCCCTGTCACCCAAACACTTGGGCAACTGAATTCCACAGGCTGGGTGGCACGAAAGAAGGGCAGGCAGCTAGTGCACCACAGTGCTGTAATGGGCAGGAGGAGGAGGAGGAGGAGAGGAAGGTACTGTCGCCTGGAGAGAGCCCCTTGTGCAGGATCCCTCTGACAAATGCTTCAGGGTTAAACGCAGCAGAGACAGCCCAAGCCTGAGGGGCGGCAGTGGCACTTCCCCACAGATGCTTGGGGTGGCCCGAGTCTGATTGAAAGCTGGCCAGGAGCAGGTGGGGAAGGCATCAACATGTCTCCTGATGAAGTTAGGAGTCTTGATAGGTTGAGTAAAAACAGACATTCAGTTGAGAGTGCTATTTTTAAGAGGGTACTTTTGGACTGAAATGCTTTAAAATATTTCTTTCCTAGAACAGAGTTCTTTTAGATACAAGTTTCTGAGAAAATGTATGGCCTTTTCACATCTAACTTTGCCAAATATTCATTTCTCCGTTTTGTAAGAGTAAAAGCTTAGCACCAGAAACTACTATACTAAATACTGAATTTTTGCTAGACCGAAAACATTGGTAAATATCCTAGCAAGACAAATGAATGTCAAACTGTTAACAGGGGCTGAGATGTTAAATGGAAAAGATCTATTAGATCATTCAGAACTGTGCTCGAGAGCTGCCTGCCAGAACAGTTACCCAGCAAACGTGTCTTCTGAGAAAGCAGAGAACAGCATACAATACACATGTGGAAAAGCATACCTGTTCCCATCAAAAAAAAACAAAAGGAAGAGCAGACACTAGACTAGATGTTATTTAGTCTCTCAGCCAATGTTTAGCTGAGATTAGAAGATCCAGTTTACCAGACTTTTTCTTACATCTGAAAAAGTATGGTTGTCTTCTGCCAGCCCCACTATCATCTGTACAGTTTTGGCAAGGCAGAGACAAGTATGAAATCTTAAGACATTCATTTTCTGATAGGAAGAATCCACCAAAACAAAACAAACAAACAAACAAACCAAAACAAAACAGAAGAAAAAAAGAAAAAGGAAATTCTACCCAAAAGGTATCCAAATTCCAGAAACACATAAGACCATGGTAATTAAATATAGGTCACCCCCAGGCATAATCTGTCAGTAACACTAGGCAGAAAAATGAAAATTAAAAAAAAAAAAAAAGGCTGGAGAATCCTCGATGGATTTCCTATATAAAACAATAGGGAAACTTGAGCAGTTCAACTCAGAGGGGATTGTAATGAACTGAGGTGACCCTATATTAATTAACAGGTTTAGAAAAAGAAACAAAGCAAAGAAAATTGTCTTAATGGGAGAGATTAAAGTGGGGTTTAGGTTGGAAAGAGAAAGAATCATGGATCTCCTAAGTAATCCAAGGAATGTACTTGTTTCCAGTCCAGTTTTAAGGCCCAGAAAGGGCCAGAAGCACAATTTATCCAATGCTTTTGAAATTTGCTATACATTAGCCCAGTTTCAAGTTTTCCTTAATTAAAAAGTCAGTTAATACTACTGCAAACCAGGGATCCCAATGGCTAATTTAAAAGTGCCAACTTAGAGAGGCTTACAGTACCTGACAGCCTTTATCTATACAGTCAGCCGTGCCCAGAACCAAAACGCTGTGAAAACAAAAGCAAACGCTTTTTCCATTTCTTGTGGATCTCGTGGTCATCAGAGACCCACTGCGCTCATGTGAAGGTGAATTCTGGGCTTCCTGGCCAGGCAGGAAGCATCTGCAGTGTGACACTGTCACACGTCTGCCCAGGTGACAGCATGTGCATAGCTGGTACCCAAAATCAGTCACTGTTTTTGGGGATGGCTAAGGCCTTTGCAGATGACTTTGATTGGTAAACACCCGCAGGGACCAACAACTGGGGAGTGTTTTATTCCAGCAGCCCTGGGATGGGTGGCTCTGCTGCTGGAGCTGTGACCGCAGGCCGGTTTAAACTCGCTTCTCCAGCAAAGCCACCCAAGAGTAGTTTAGATAGGCAGTGAAATACATCACGGATCTCGTGGTAGTAGCTGCTGATATACACTTGCAAACCACTTCCTTCACATCACATCAGAGCTGTACAAGCTTTTATCTTGCTAGGTGTGTAGGTGGATGTAGGATCTAATTTCCACTCTTTTCACGAAACAAGGCTGTTAAGTCTCATTAGAAGCTGCTACTGTGACCTTTGGTATCCATTTCACTAATACCTTTCTGTTTGCTTTCCAGCCTACCCTGAGATCTCTGTTAGCTTGCAGGAGGGCTCAGCTGGCACCTCGCAGAAGGTGAGCAATTTTGGAGCAAAGAGTAATGCCTATGACCGTCACCGTGCCACCCCAGCAGGGCCAGGCAGGCAAAGCTGAATCAGATACAGGTGGGACCTTCAAACCAACCGAGTTCACCGGGTGACAAGAGAGTCAATGAGTTAATGTCAGCCATTAGTACCCTTTCTCCTGAGTGATTCCCACCCCCACAGCAGAGAGCTGCCTCACTGACCACAAATGGGAGCTAGCTACGGGCCTCTCTGGGGTGTGGGCAAAATCTGATTTTGTGTTAGCCTTAGGGAAAGCTCCGGGACAGGGTCAAGAGGCTGTGAGGAGTCGGTGGTATCGCAGGGGGCTTCGATGCTCCCTTTCCCTCCCCACCCGCTGGCTACCACCCAGCAGCCTCGAGCTGCCCTCTCCACACAGTATAAAATCCCTCTCCAAAGAATGCCACCCGCTACCAGGGATGCTGCTCCAAGGGGGTAGGCAGCGGCAGCCCCCGCCTGCCACACAGCCCCTCCGGGGAACAGGAGGAGCAGATGCTGTGGGTGGGAGCAGTGCCTGGGGCACCGACATGGTCTAGTGTGTCGATGGAACGGTGATGATCTTGTCAGGTGTAACGTGTCATGCTGCAAGCACGACTCAGCTGGAGCAATCAGACACCGATGGAGGGGCTGGATCTAAGTCTGAGGGCCTCTAGAGCTGAGCAGTTATGTGTGTTTCGGGGCCTTTATCACCTGCTTGGCAATGGCAAAACCTAAAGAGAAAGTCTGCCATACCACGTTGGACATACTTGTCATAAAGCATACTTGTTGCCCATATGACTGACTAGCAACCCACTCTGGCTACTCGCTGTGACACTTTGCTTCCTGTTGCATCCATCCAGATTGAAGCTTTTGATCTGTGAGCATTCCAAATTAGGAAAGTTTTCCTTGGAAACAGCACTTCTGGGCAGACAGAACCTTGCATTAACCATACCCACTTGTTGTCAGACAAGCCATGAGTCAGCTGGTTCTGCAAAACTGGTATAATTTTCCTGGTGACCTGTTTCCAGGTGTGGTGTTGGACATTGAAGGCTTTTGTCTGCACTGTCCTGCAGAGTGGAGCAAGAGGTGCTGCTAGCATGGGACTGGGCAACAGAAACTCTTCCAAGAGCTTCTGTCCATTCTTCACCTCCAAACACTGGGTCCTTCCCTTCTCTTTTCCATCTTTGCTTGCAGGGCTTAAATCTACTTGGGACGTCAGATTTGTATTTCTTCATAGGAAACATTTATGAAAATATTTATTTTATATATATATTATGAAAAAATATATATAGTGTCTGAAAAATAAGGGTATAATGAAGAGAAAAGAGAGGAAAGCAACTACACTACAAGTTTATTTACCACAGGAAGGAAAGAGTTTCAGCCTCATGGTTTTAGTCTTCATACTGAATGATTGACTTCTACCGGCTGTAATGCATCAAGCTTGCTTTCAATCGAATGTGTGAAACGCTTTCTTCAAAAGTGGGAGCAAGAGGGCTTTGTGCTGCATGAGTAGCACGTGCTTTTTTTCTTTTTTTTTTTTCCCTTTGTTTAACTGGGCGATTTCTCTTAGTGTCATAAACTGTTAAGTAAAGGTAATTGGGAACATCTGGGCGGCATGAGGATGAGACCTCACACCCTGCTAGTGCCCAGCCCTTCATCCAGCCTTGATTTTGAGGTCTTTCCCGTCTATTTCTTGATGAGAAATTAAACTGAGCACAAAACCAGATTTTTTTGAGCAATTAGTATACAGCCAGGGCTACTGCATCTAAAGCATGTGATTGCTCGCAACTTCTGGAAACCTCTTACATATCATACCCCCTACAAAGGCAGCTAATTTTGTATATTCAACATATCATTTTGCTAGGCTGTCTTCTTCATGGGATTTGCCTCCTTATCTGCCTAATGAAGGAAGGATTTACACGGCAATCAGGAGGTGTCTCATTCTGCCCCCCCCCAGTGATGCCAGTGTTTCTCTGTGTGGGTATTTGTCACCGAGGCACTGGGGGCCGGAGGGTGGGGGGGGTCATCCTATATCTCTCTGGCCACGACACATGACTGGAAGGTGTTAGAGCCCCATCACCCCCCAGGTGGCCCAGGGTGATGGGGGTGTCCCTGGCCTCTCATTCAATACAGTGTGCAACCAGAAAAATGAGGGGGAAAGAAATGCAATAAAGAAGAAGCGAGTGCTTCCTTCCTGAGCGGGACGGTGAGTAAATAAGCTCTGTCTGTAAGGGATTTTGGAAGCTGGCAGCCAGGTGAGAAATGCCAGAGGCTAATGACTGACTTTTACTGCCCCATAGCCCAACGTGAGCTGCGTCGTGAGGAAGGCATTTCCCAAGCCAAGCCTCCGGTGGTATGTGGACAGAGCAAGCCTGACGGAGCAGCGTGGAGGTAGCGTAACCTGTAAATAGGACAATGGCACAGCTGTAGAAGTGGTTCCCAAGAAAAGCGGTGGTTACTCATCCGCTCCTGCCACGGGGAGCCTGTAGGTGTCTGTCAGGGTGAAGGGGAGGATCAGACCTCCTCAAAGGGAAGAGCTGGTGAACAGCTGTGACCGTAGCCCCCTGCTATTGCCGTGAATGATGTCTTGGCATAACCATGCTGGTCTTTGATAGCATCCCTGCAACGAAATCTGCAGCCATATGAGCTTGCTTTTCGGTACCAATATTTTGCACAGCTCTGGTTTATAGTTTGGAGTGTAATGAGAGGGTCTTGCAGCTTTTCTTTTTTTTTTTCTTTCCCCAAGAAATTTCTGTTGAACAAGAAGACTTGCAAGATAGTGAAGGTTTCTATCAGCTAAGATCAACACTGATGTTGCAAGGGACCCACCAGACACATAAGACCTTCCTGTGCGCATGCCTATTTTCCTTCCTCGGGAATGAAACACGGAATATTTCATCAGAAGAAATATTTGTTTCCTTCGGTAGGTTTTTCATAGATAGGACACATCTGAAATGTAAAGAACACCAAACATGGGTGTTCTCTGTTATTTAAAACACTGAAGAAATACCAAGAGTATGGAAGCTTTATTATACAAGTTCATCACACAGCTTGAACTTTCCGGCAGGTTTTTTAGCTCAAGTCTTTGCTCAAGCCTCTAAATGAGCTAAGAAACTCCTGCACAAATATAAGGTGTTTGCTGTTTGTTTAGGCAGCATCTTGCTGCACTTGCCATACCCCAAAGTACACTAGCTTAGCTGCATGGCACCAGTGAGCTGTTATAAAGACGTGTTTCTGACTGAGCGCTCCTGGCAAGTCTGTATGTGTGCAATGCAGCTCTGGAAAATCAAACCCTCAGAGTCAGGGCTATGTTGTACATCTGCAGTGAAACTTGCAAAAGGCCCCTAAAATGGTTGAACCATTTTGTACAATGGAGAAATCCACTATAACCTGTGCTATAAGAATTAGCTACACAGTTAGGGAAGTGTGGAGAAAATACTGTCTCAACTAGTTGGTGAAAGCCGGAGACCCGGTGGCGCAGAGGTTTAAGGCATTTCTGAGGATGCGGTGTGGCTGCCAAGAAGGGCAGACTGATTTCCTTTAGCATCCTCTTGTGCATGCCTCCTTTTCAGGTGCAAATGCATAGTTACACCTTTTTTTTTTTACTATGTATCCTCCTTGCTGCACAGATAATAGAGCCGAACTGCTGGCCCCTTAGCAGTCTCCACGGGTATGTCACATACTCTGGTGACTACTTGCAGCTCAGCTGTGTTCGCTTGTGGCTGTGGATATGCTTGTTGGTATGTTTTTCCACAAAGGAAGATTGCATCAAAAGCCAGAGCTTACTCCTCTGGAAATATAGCCTCAGAGGGAAGGGAGATAAATGATCATTTTTCTCCAAAATGACTCATTTCACCCAATTTGCAGTTTTGTACAAATATACTCAAATTGTGGAGCTGTCAATTAAAGCAGTCTACGTTCTTGCCTGCAGGCTATGCTAATGTTAAGATAGATCCACTCTGTATAAAAATGTTAATGTATTTAGATGTGACAGGAAAGAATTAAATTAATTCTTAGCTATGTTCTGTGAAGGTGCCATACTAATGCACAGTATGACACAAACCCCAAACTAAATTTTCAGCCTTTATAACAAAAGCCTAACTACTTTTAAGAACTGCTTTCATCTTTCTTTTCTTTTTTTTTTTTCTTCATAGACAATAATTCTAATGAAGCCTCATCCGAATCTTTTACGACCATAGCTTCAGAAGGTAGGATAAATTAGAGAATGACATAACTTGGGTTAGGTTAAAAGTGCATCTGTAAATTCCTAAAGTAGTTGGAGAAATAGTTTTGCAAGCTTGTTTCTGGATGGGTAGTAAGGTACTCCTTTCTGCAGCTATGACTTCAGAGAAAAGACAATAAACAGATATTTTGGTGGTGTAATATATCGTAATTAAGCCCAAGCGTAATTAAACTCCAGCCTTGAGGGGCACTTAATATTATTTCTGATGCTTCAGCTGGCATTTGAATATAGCTCTTTCAGGACTGAAATGATAATTAAAAATAACAGCTCTCCTAATGGTTCTACCTTCTGCTTAAGTACACAGCCAAGATCCTCAACTTTTTTGCCTAATTAAAGAACTGATGGGATGTTTCTTAATTTGTGTAGATTTGGTAAATCCGTGCTCTGCCCCTGCAAGTTTGTCTTATTATCAGCTTATTGCAGACAGATAAATTGTTCCCTCCACACCTCAGCTGAAGCCCTTTGGAGACGGCTCTCCTGGGGCAGCTTGCTCTGCTCCCCATGGGAGGCAGCTGCATGGCAGTGGTGGGTTACGTGAGAACGTCAGAGAAACGCTGGAGACAAACAGTTCGGAAAGAAGGAGTTTTTTTCTATGTAAAGCTTGCTTCTGCAACTGCAAGCTGTGGCAGGCCCTGGGGGTTCAGCCAATACTCTGCTGGGCACCAGAAAGCCATCCCAGGTACCGGGGGTCCCTGGGAGAGAGACTTTGTCCTCCACTGGCCTCCTCTAGGTGATGTCTCAAAGCAGCCCCTGCAGCTTGAGTCAGGTCACCACCCTGCTTTGCCTTGCACGCTCTGCAGAAATGTACTGGGAGCTGGGCACACCTCAAGGTGCCTCACTACCCTGGTTTTTAGGCCCGCTGCATCTTTGGTAAGGAGTCCTTCTAGGTAACGAAATCCCTGTTAGCTCAGGGGGAGTTTTGCCTCACCTCCCTGGAAAAAAAGAAGAAAGTGAGACATGTCTCACTCAGGTTGTAAATACTGCGTGAGCAGGATGGTGTCTCTGCTGTGCTTGGCCGGCTGGTTGACAGTCCTTTAATTACAAGGAATAACTCCCTCTCCTCTTCTTTGAGGTCTTGGTGAGTACTTTTCAGTGCAAAGTGTCCCTGAAATTTCCTGTCAGAGTTGCAGTCCCTGAAGTGCCTCATGGAAGGAGCTATGCAGGTGCCACCACCGGGTCATACATGTTATTTCAACATGCATGCTAATAAGATGCATCTGTTTGCATGGGATAAAACCACGTAAATCACTTCTGCTTTTTGAGTTGAGGTGCCTGAGGCTCCAAAACTTTTTCCCCCAAACGTCTGTTTCCCTAGGGATTTCACAGCACAGTTACCACAGGTGCTTCTTTTTTCTCACTGGCCCATTTGGCTGAGTTGTGCATTGAAAAATTATTTGGAAATTAAGTGTGACGCACTCTCGAACCTTTGAATCACTCACTTTTCTAAAGCAGAATAAACACCTTTCTCACCCTGAGTAAAAGTGTTCACTTTGATTTGTTATAGACCTTGGAAATTCAGCACTTTCATCAGCCGTCGTGAATACATCAGGTAAGGGGCGTTGGGGGGGAAGCCTTCTTTATTATTCAGTCAATATATGTAGGATCTCTGCTTGACCATTGCTTAAATGTCATGTACACAGAGCCAGAGGCATGCCAGGGAAAGGTCAGTGTGCTCTGGTACTGACGGTACCTGTGTGCTGCTGGATGGGAATTTGTGAGCTATGAAGTTACCCAAGAAGGGATCCAACACAAATCCTGCTAAAACTGTCATGCTAGGACAGCACGTAAAATGGAATGCTGAATATCACATATTATTCTTGTGCCTGCTTATAAAATGCAATAAACCCCCTATACAACTGTGAATAAATTTGTCCTGTTATGACAGAGAGATGCATGTGATAGAAAAGTTAAAACCACCACTTTTCCCTCACCCAATAGTCGCGCATCATTCCCATTCATTAATGATATAAGATAAATGCCACTGCTTTGCCACAGCATGCAGATGGATAACTATATAAAATTATCATCAGCAATTGAGAGGAAAACCAGCAAGAGTGGGCGATCTCCTGGACTTACGTGGCTACAGCGCGTTGTCAGGCCTGTTTCTGGCAAGGCCCTTGCTAGGCGGGGGGAGCACCGCCATCAAGTACAAAATCCACCCCACAGCTTTTAAACTGAACCCTGTGTACAAAAACATAAATAAATATCGCACACAGCTAGCCCGCAGGAAAGGGTCAGCATTAATAATGTCAGCCATCTCTGATTGCTCCTCGAATTTATGGGTTGTGTTTTGAGCATTTAACCTTAACTCCAGCAGTGGGATTCCTGCT